CCTCTCTATCAACAGTCTTGGTTGCTAGCACCTGGATCATTTGATTCGATACACTTTGCAGAGGACCTGATGCTTGATTCCTCATATCATGCTGTGACTCGGCTAACTGCTCTTGTAACTGATCTTGTGATTCTTCATTAGATTGCTCCATTGTTTCCATTTGTTTGTTCATAACAATGAGGAGTAGTATGAATGAATGATCTCAGTATTACTGTCACATAACCTCCAATAAGTTATTTCCATGTTTTCATAACTAATGCATGTAAAATGCTTAAATATATGCAATGCAAATGCAAATGCTAAATGCAAATGCAAAAAGGTGTCATTCCAGAGTGACCATCTTAAAACAATTTTCATTGAACACAAAAGTTTCGGTACATCAAACAAACTTTACATATAATTGGTATCTTTCACTCCTAATTTTTCTATCTCCTTCAAAAGCCAATTTAGCTTCCAATCATGCTCGGGTGTTGAGTCCTCAATCTGCTTTAATTCTCTTGCAAAGCCAGCTAAATCAACCAATTTGTGAGCCACATTGCTTGTTTGGGTCATAACTTCTTTCATGGCATTGTCCTTTTCCTCTATATTGAGTGCTGATTCTCGAAGATGTAGACACTTTTGTTGAATCTTCCTTGTAAGAAAGTCTTTATGGTTATAAAGCTCTTGTATAAGATCTCTATAATCATCTACAAGCCTCATCAATGTTTTGTTCTTAGCTCTAGTGGCTTCTAGCTCAGCTTCATTCTCCCGCTTGTGGCATTGATATGAAACTTCCATATTGGCAATGGACCTATTCAACATCTGATTTTCAACTTGATATCTTCCCAAATCATTAACAGTTGTATTGCGCATTTTTTATGCAATCTGTAAATCATAAGAAAACTTCTCCGCTTGGCCTTCGTGCACCTTGCAATTCTTTCTCCATTGTTCAGCGTTATTATTCAGTTTAGCGACCCTTATTATCCACTCCTCTGAGATATTTCCTATACCAACAAATTTAAAAGCTTGACTGATCGTTTGAAAACCATCTCGCATGGCTTCCATCTCTCTACTCAGTTTATCATTTTCACTCCTTAAATGAAGAATTTGAGCTTCGTATTTTGGTAAACAATCTTCCTCTTGGGTCTCCTCACTGATACCCTTACTTTTGGTTCAAACTCAACAGGATAATCTGTTACCAAACTAGGTTGTCCTTTCAATTCAAACTCCAATACTCCATGATCTAGAAGAAGTTGGACTCGATGTTTGAAGGTAGAACAATTCTCAATGGAATGTCCTTGAATTCCAACATGATATTCACAACGAGCGTTGACGTCATACCAATTTGGATATGGAGGTTGCAAAGGTTTCACATAATGTGGGGCCACTTCTCGGGCTTCCAACAGTTCATCATACAACTCCTTATATGATATTGGGATGAAATCACAACGAGAGTCACTTCTCAACTTGGGTTGAACTGGAGTTTCAAGTTTTACTTCCCCTGACGTTGGGAGTAGACTATCAAACACCAACGAGTTCTGACTACATGGCTTCTTTTCATCTTTCTGAACTTCTACAGTTGCCACTATTTCCTTGGGATTTCCAAACAACTTGTTGATACGAACAATGATTGTACTTGATTTCTCATACTGACTAGAATCAACATGTTCTAAAGTAGTCCCTTGCGTATTTGACACCTCGAGATTTTTTTCATTGAGTTCTTTCTTTTCTTTTGTAGAAGTCTCTCTTCTTTGGACAAAGCATATATTCTATCCATCATCTTGGACATTTGCTCTTTTATCTCTCTTATTTCCTTTTTCTCTTCCTCAGCCATGCGATATTTGGGTGCAGATCTCTTCACTATTCTCGAAGCTTTCTTAGGATGCCATTTATTGGCTGTATTATAGCCCGTCTGATCACAAAACCCCTTGTCCGTCATGAAAACCTTCTACTATGATGATCACTCACAAATCAACACCTTTTGAATATGTCATGATCATGCAATACAAACAAAGACAAAAACAACATAGAAACAAGTTAGTACAAATGAGATAACAAAATGACAAAAAGCAACAATAGCAAAATAAATAAATTAAAGATAATAAGAATGCAAATGCAAATGCACAAAGTGGTAATTCCAAAAGTGACCACCATAGAACAACCTTAATTTAGACAACAAGAATTCAGTACACCATGTAGTCAAAATATAAATGTGATTATTCATTTCTTCATTTCCTTGAGTCGTACTCTTCATGGAATCTAACATTGCACCCAAAGTTGTCGGCGTATTTTATCACCTTTGATGATGTCGGATATCCTTTTTGAAATCTTCATTCTTACTTGCGAAGTGGTCTTCATGTCTTTATTAAAGGTCTTCTCGTCCTTTGTATGATTGTATCTATATCTTGAGTCAACATCTTAACCTTTGCCCCATTAAAGGAGGTCTTCAATCAGCTTCAGATTTCTTCATTCACCGGATATCATTCTTCATGGACCAATCAATCATCTTTGGATATCCAGTTTTGACTACATGGTTGAGAATTTCTTGTCTCAATATGTCCGACCTTCTTATTAGTCAATTACTTGCGAATTAACACCTTTTGATGACATTAAGATGCAAATGCAATAAAATCACAATAAAATAGACACAGAACAAAAATGGGTTAGTACACATAAGATAAACAACAAGATAGTAATTATCATAATCATTAAATAAAACCTGCCCTCACATCCTGGCTACTCAATCATGCTTTAGCAAATCCTACCCAACATGATATCTACCCTCATTCCTTGTCATTCACAAAAAATCTTAACCGCATGATATCTAATTTGCATGATTGCTTGACAAATAAACCTAACCACATGATTTCTAGTTCGCATGCATTTATTCTAAAAGCGAAAATAAATGACTCAAAAAGCTTTTCCTTGTATACCCTCCTCATGGGTCTCTTAAGGTTCGAGTTAGGCTCGAACTAAGTTCGGGCTCTATGTTCACTATATGTTGGGTTCAGTTATAAAGTAATAGGTTCTCAAATTGTCCTTGCCGGTGCCCCCTTGGGCTGCCGAACCCTCAATCCTGGCCCATCACAGGCTTTAGGGGATCGAGTTCAATTTCGAGGGAACACACCTCCTTATGTCTATGCGGAGGTGAATACCATCACGAGGACCATAAGGCGTGAGCTCCATGAACGATTCACTATCCCATGGGGAGGTGAAAACCACACGAGGACATAGTCTCTCACTCCTACTTAATTTGGACAGAGCATGATTTTAGCTCATGTCATGATAATGCAACTGTGCAGTGTGAGGAAAAGCGAAACACACACAATAAAAACACTCAAATCAATTCCCAAATTCCTTTTAAAACACACAAATAATCTAAAACCATTAACAAACATGTCAGTACAACTATTTATTGGTTAATCAAATTATAAACAAAAAATTATAAAATCAAACAAGGGATCAAAAAACCAAATTATAACTGACTTATAACTTTCATTTGCAAAGACACTTAATTAATCGACTATCGGCCTGACTCTCTTTAAAAAAGTCCCCAGCAGAGCCGCCAAGCTGTCGAAACGATTTTTTTCTTGAAAGTGAGATTTTCAAAACCACACCATTTTTAATTATCTCTTTATGATTAAATTTTAATTAAAAGTGAATGCGACTTAAAAAACTTTTCGTTTCGAAATTTTTTTGGGACTTCCTTTACAATAGAAAAATACGGTTCGAAGAGTCGCCACCAATAGTTGATTAGGGTGTGATTGGGCACCCAAAAACGTTTTGTCATTTTTAAATAAAAATTAATTTTAATTAAAACAACAAGTTGAAGTATGCGTTACCAAAAATCGAGTTCGGGAGTCGGTTAAGCGTGGGAAAGGATTAGCACCCCACATCGCCCTAAATCGGTATCTAGTCGGTTAATTAACGTCTTTGCAATGAACTTTACAAATTCGAACTTAATTTGAATTTTGATCCCATAAAACAAATATGTGAATTTTATAATATTTAAAAAGCACCCAAATAAATTAAATTAAAATTATCGAGTCATTTTAGAAAGATAAAGAATGTTTGATTATTTAAAAATATCGAGACCCGATCTTAGATGAGTTGTAACAATCTTTTCTCGAAAAATTTAAATAACCGAATATCTCCTTTCCTTTTGTTCCCAAATTTTAAGTGACGAATCAATTTTTTTGTTTCACTTTCGGGATACACTTTTAATTTAAAATAGTCAAAACGGCTCTCTAATGAGTTAAGACAAGCCACTCAAGACAATTTTAAATTAAAAGGGTATTACCCTTAATCAAATTATGTAATGCGGGTCAAGTTATGCACATGAGGGTATAATATATATTAACTAAAAATGACATGTACCCGAATGGATGATGAAACCTAAACTAATACACTCGAAATTTAGTTACCAATATATACATGTTATAATTTATCCTAAAATAACCTATTGTAGGTGTCTATTATACTTGATTGTAATGATCGAAAGAAAATGCTCACCATGTTATACTTGGCACGCGTAAAAATAGTAAGGCATAAATGAGACTTAATTATAATATATATATATATATATATACAGGAACATACAAACGCACCATATATTTCAAATAGAAAGTATATTTAATATATGTGAATATTAATAACTATGGACAAAACAAAATATATTACACATAGCCTATATTATATATATATTCATATGTATACATTCGTGTCTCGAAAGATGAAAGCGGCAAATAAAAAAAATACATGTATACTAAATGCAAAATAACCAGTAAGCTAAATAACCATGCCATGAGATAAAGATGTAACACGCATAAAGATCAGTAGCAAAATCAAAAAACTTTAAAAAGAAAAAACCATGGATTAAAATGCATTAAAACAGAACATAGAAGGGTTTACTCTGAAAATAACCCATGTAAGGTGCTGAAAAATATCTCCCCTAAAACGTGCCGTTTTATTCTTTGCTTATAACCCTGCTTAAACTAAAATTAGAACCCTAGTTATCATTTTTGCCAGCTACCCCGCCGTTCTTCACTTTCCTCTCCATTCTCTCTCCTAAATTTCTCACGGCCAAAACTTTAAAACCCGCCTAACTAGCCGCTCAACCACTGTATCTCGGTGGTAACTCGTCCTTCCAACTGCCGTTAGAGACCACCGAAGAAACCTAAACGACCGAAGACCTCGACTCCTGCTCACTCCTTCGACCGAACCCAAAACCGAACCTACATGCAAAACACAACATGGTTCGAAGAGACCTTGGCTCCACTCTTTCCGGTGACCTCAAGAGACCTCGACTCCGACGATGGACACCCTCATAACAAGGTAAGCTAGATCGAGACCCTCTATTACTCTTACTCTTTTTATTTTAAAAAACCCCAATCTAAAAACTAAACTTATAATCTACATGCAAGCCTCTCAAAGGATCCCCAACGCCTCAGCCTTGGACTCCGATGACTCAAACAGACTCGGTAAGCTTCTAACCCTTGTTCTCGTTTCACACAAAAATCACGCACACACACACACATCTCTACTGGAAAATAAACAAAATGAAAGAAATACCTCTTAAATGCTTTCTTTTTTTCTGGACTTGTTCCTGGTCAACGTTCTCTGTGTTTATATTAATCTTTGAATTCGAGGGATAAACCTCTTTTATACACTGTTTTTTTAGTTTCGAATATAGTAGCATAACTCTCTACACCCTTAACCGATACCTTTTCAAAACCCACATCCACCATTCTATCACCATTCACCGGTGAGCACTTAGAGTCGAGTAAACCTAAATGACACTAAAACCTCCTAATCCACTATATAACATAGATCTAACCCTAAAAATGGACATGCAAAGACCAAAGGGCTATAGGATCTTTCGAATACTCACCCCGATGATGACTCCGACGAAGCTCCTCCTCTTTTTGCTTCCAGTGACGCTAAGAACTTCCCAACTTCCGGCGAAGACCCGAAACAGAACCCAGGTAAACGGATCTCTCTCTTTTTTCTCCTTTTTTTTTTGTTGGTTCGAGCACCCCCTTTGAATAGAAAAACGTTGTTTAAAAAAATAGAATCGTTCTGATGTTTTGTTTCTACTACTTTGTATTTCTGAAAGAAGAAAAGCCTTGTGTTGCTAATAAAAAAACTGCTCTGAAATCTCCTCTGTTTGTGTGATCTCCTTTTTTCGTTTTTTTGTCTGTGATGCTTGATAAATTTCGGTTCTCCCTCGTTCCTCCCTTTTTACGGATGATGAATGCCCCTCTCAACGAACGATTTCATTCAGTTGTTGCTTATGGTTTTTCCCCACGTTATGTTGAATGGTGTTTTGTAATCCTCTCCTTGTTTGCTGCAGGTATGCTTCCAATGGTTGAGGAGGGACAGCTGGCTCATGAGACTCGACTGGCTTGGTTTGGGCTTGTTGGGCTTGTTTCGGGTTATTGGGCTTAAACCCAAATTGAGTCTTTTTAATGACCTAAAAAATAATAATAAAATTAAATTAATATCTAATATTTAATAATTATAATAATAAAAATAAAAATAAAAACAATAAAAATCCCGAACAAAACGGGTGTCAACAGTTTGTTTTTGTGATTTAGTATATAAATTTGCTTTATTTATTTCATGATTTCGATATGGTGATTTGATTTAGATTGTAAATAAAATGTTATTTCAACTCTTTTAATATAATGCACAATCTCAAACTAATAATAACTTGAAGATCTATTTCTTTTCTGTTCTATTTAACTATGTAAGAAATGCCTTTATAATAAGTAGAATTTAGACCCTTCAAAGATTATTTTGACCTCTTCGGCCTTTAAAATAAAATGTTTATAGGGATACCCTGCAGTGGCTCATCTCGAAAATCCTTAAGAAGTTTCAAAAATCAATGTATAATGTCTAGAAATAACAAAACTTGTTAGATAATTGCTAGTAGTTGCCTTGTTATTCTTGGATAATTTGATATACAATATAGACATGAAATTTATATATGAATTTCGAGTAAGCTTTGTTAAAAATGTAAAATATATCTTTTAGATTAGTTATAAATAGAATAACACTTTAAAAAATTAAAAGCTTTCTAATTAATTTCAGGTTGGACATTTAGAAAATTTTGGATTTTTGAGGCTTCTAATGGCCTAGATCATTCTTTCTTTAATAAGAAATAATTGTTTGTGCTTGCTGCAATATTACTGATATTTTTTATTTTTTGGTTTTTAAGTTTTTTATTACTTATAATTTGTAGCATCAAATCATTCTTTCGCTAATAAGAAGTATGTTTATGATTAATGTAGTTTCAATCAATCGAATTTAGTTGAGTTTCCTTCTAAGGAACATCTTGAAAAGACATTACTTTGCGCAATTCACGAGACCAATGAAAAGTTTGAAATTAGTTAAGATTCGAAACGGTAATTAAAGTCATCGTTGTAAATAAACTATATATGCATATATTCATATTAAGATCATATGTTTGGTTTCCCTTGCATAGTTTTCGGTTTGCTTGCAATTTAGGACAGGATGTCAATGAAAGATTGCCTCTTGAAATGGGGGATTGAGATGGAAGATGATGTAGCATCTGTTCGAATATAGAGAGTATCGTGATCATCTTTTTTTTAATTGTGATTTCAGAAAAGCTCTGTGGAAGAAGATTCTACAGTTTTATCAATTGGCAAGGCAGATCAAGGAGTGAAGGATGGAGGTTTTGTAGGCAGTTACAAGGTTCAAGAGTAAGTATTTCCTCTCCAATTTGTTCAAGTTAGCCTAGAGTACTTATATATATCGAGTTTTGAGGAAAAGGGATGGCAGAATATTTGGTGTTGTTAACAAAAAGTGTCAAGGATCTGGCGCTAGACATTAAAGAAGACGTCCGCCTATAACCCTTGGTATGATAAGGAAGGAAGGAATAAAAATCATACTTTGTATAAATTAGAGTATTGATTGATTGTAAAGCATAGATGGATTGGGATGCTTTGTGTAGTTGATTTATTACTGCAAGTTATTTTGCTGCAGTTTATCATTTGTTGTGTTGCTTGATTGTTTGGTGGTGTTGTGGTAGGCTATTGCCTTGTATTTTTATAGCGAATTACTGCATTTTGGTTAATGAAATTCATATTTCATCCAAAAAAAAGAAAGAAAGAAAAATAGTATATTAGCATTGCTTTCACAGTTTTAAATCGTCATTTTTCTTTCATTCTCATACCTCCTCTTCTAAATTTGAAGTAAATACTCGCTCATGATTTATTGGAGAATGTTGAAAATTGTTTGTTAAGATTCTTGTTAGTATTAATTCAATATGATAATTTTTAATAATTCTTGTATAAAAATTGTGTTGGGTCTTTATTTTTAAAGACTTATAACTTACATCAATAAAATAATATAAAACTTTATTTTAAATTCATTGTTTTTCTCATTATTTAATTATATTTTTTGATAAAGATAAATTAAAACCATGTTTGCATATAATGGAGAAAAATAAATTTATAGTTATCTTCATTAACTTGTTGAGTATTCTATTTGTAATTTTTTTTTAAAAATATTATATAATTATAAAAATAAAAAAATTAATATACATTAAAAATTTCACATAATATAATTTTATAGTAATAAAATTAATTCAATAAAAATAAAATATAAAAAATAAATTATAATGTGTTTGTTCAACTAAAAACAGATTTCGGAAAATGTTTTCAGTAAAATTTACCAAACAGTGGAAAATATTTTACACAACATCATCCAAACACCAGAAAATGATTTTCGTAAACTGTTTTTCAGAAAATGTAATTCATTTTCCAGAATTTATTTTTAGTAAAAGAAACAAACCCTTAGTGAAATCGATTTAAATTGGTAATATGGGTAGTAAGTTTAAAAAATCACTACAAATTCTACAAGAATGATAAAAGACGATTTTTATAATGTTGGATTCATAAGTCAGTCTAGCTTTGTTTAAAACAAACGAATACTTATTTATAGGTGTATACAAAAAGATATGAATTTTTAATCAATGATAGATCATAAACTTGGGCAATAGATTTTGCTCCAAACAAAAAAATTGTCATAAAATGTACAAGTTGAATTAGAAGTGTCTTATATGGTTAGATTAGTATTCGAGTATAGTTTTTAATGGTACAAACGGAATAATTTTTATTTGTATAGATTAATACAGAAAAATACTTCTTTGAGGTTAGTGCAAACTATCAATATATGAAATGGTGGTAAATTATGCATTTTGTGACATTTTTATGTTATATGCTATTTTAATTGGTTGAAATGATCTAACTCTATTATTTTAGCATGAAAATTATGACATTTATCGTATGAGGAAATTATGATAATTTCATGGAAATGTTGTTTAGAGGATGAATTTATGTTTGAATCAAAATAGACACTATGTTAGGAAAACTTAAAAGTAATTGGCCAAAGGAAAGAAATAAGGAAAATTTGTGGTAAAATTTTACAAGGTTTAGAAATTATGAATGAGTGATTCTATATGATTAGAATATGACTTGGGCCAATTTGGAAAATGGTGAAAGTATAGGGATCTAATCGCATAAATTGAGAAATATGAGGATTAAATTGTAATTGTTTAAAAGTTGGAGTGCTATATTTGATGTCTAGATGGTGATTTGGAATGTTTGTGAATTTAGGATTAAACCACAAAAAAGACTATATTAAATAAAACAGAAAAGTTGAATTGAAAATTTAAAAGAATTTGATGTTTAGATGGCGATTTGGAATATTTGTGAATTTATGATTAAATAACCAAAAACTCAACTCATAGAGGGAGTGACATCCAAACTCCAAAAATCTCGCCCTCAGATAGTGTAGCTCTTGATCCACGCTACCCAAAGAGATTCCTTATTGGCAAGGATCTTTCTCATCAACTAAAGAATGCACGCCTTATTCTAACAAGCAATGTCTCTCAACCCAAGCACCCCTTCAACTTTCAAAGAGCAAACCTTACTTCATGCCACCCTAGCACCTGAAGTTGACGTGTTCTGTCTCTTCCAAAAGAATCGAGCACACAACTGTTCAATTCTCTGGATAACACCCTCCAGAAGAATCAGCTGGCGACACCAATAATTAGAGATGCTGAATAATATAGTCCGAATCAACTGAAGCCTTCTCACATAGCTAAGATTTTTGCCCATCCAATGACCAAGTTTCTCCCAAGTCTTCTCCAATAACCCATGACAATACTTCCCCGAAAGCTTACCCGAATACTTTTAAAATGATTCGATAAGGTATGTTTTCCTATACGAAAATACATTTATGGAATGGACAGTGAAATGATTCACACGCATAGATGGTAACACAAAAAAATGAGGGTTTTTTTATTCAGTTGGCACAATTTCTTAAAGAAATGTAACGTTGAATGTTTTTTTAAACTATCAATTTTAGTATACAATGTTAAAAATTTAACGTGTTTAGTACCTAAATTATCAATTTTGATCCGTTTTAGTACCTAAACTTTCAATTTTTTAAAAAGTTAACATTAAATTTTGAATTGGGTACTAAAATGAAACAAAAACTAAACTTTAGGTATGATTTTTAAAAAATTTAAAAGTTTAGGTAATAAAACGAACCAAAATTGATAGTTTAAATACTAAACTTGTAATTTACACTTCAGTTCTAGTTTCTTATTTCGAAAATTGTAAAATTAATAGATATTGGAGTTAAAAAAATAGTAAAAAATTCTATATAGTGATTAAATGGAAGTGAATATTAATTAAGTATTAGTATTTGTTTATTTTTGTAGGTTTATTTATTAAAAATATAATATATAGAGAGAGACATAAAATTTGGATGATGAATATATGAACTTAGGGTGTTAAAAAAAACAATTATAAGGTGGGAGAGAGGAGATGGAAGAAAATAAAGAGACCCTATGACAAGATAATCCCTATAACTCGCCCTTTGCTCCAAACTGTAACTTTTCATCTACTGCAATTTACAAGCAACAAAGAATCACTGTATCTACTACAGTAATTCTACATTGTACCATAATCCAGTGTACTTCTGTTTGCTAGGGACTTAGGGTCAACTTTTCAACGTCCACTTGCATCATTTTTTTAAAAAGTTAATTAGTTTGCTTTCCACGAAGCATAAAGTAAGAAAAAAATATTATAATGTGTATATATATACGTGTAGTCGCTAAAAGGAACATAAATAAATGCTTGAATAATTTGTAAAAAAAATTGTGAGGGCATGAAACATGCCAATCCTTTTTTAATTTTGAGCAGTGCATATTTATTGATATCATAATGTATAAAACACGTTCAAGGAAACTGCAAAGCATATATAAGATGCAGCTTTTGGTATATCATAATCAATGCCATACTTGGGAATTTCCTAGTGATTTCTCTCGATGGAACATTACTCTATGATATAAATCTATGCACTGGAAAGTTTACTAAGTACCATTTATCCCCTAGATCTATGCACCTGGGAATTTCCTAGTGAATTATTAAACATGTCGGGACCTGGTTGTAATGAAATATTTAGATGAGATAATTTATAGATTATC